AGATACGGGAGCGGAAATTTCAATCATTTCTCTACAGCACTGGCTGTCCACGTGGCCAATTCAACCCACTCAATTTAACATAGTTGGAGTTGGTAAAGCTGCTGAAGTATATCAAAGTAGTTATATTTTGCATTGTGAGGGGCCTGATGGACAACCTGGGACCATTCAACCAATTATAACTTCTGTACCTATACATTTATGGGCAAGAGATTTATTACAACAATGGGAAGCACAAGTTCTAATTCCAGAACAATTATATAGCCCTCAAAGTCAACATACAATGCATGAAATGGGTTATGTCCCTGGTATGAGACCAGAAAAAAAATTTGCAAGGTTTAAAAAAACCGCTTCAAGTGGAAAAACAGAGTTCCCACCAAAGATTAGGAAAAAAATTTTGATGGCGGCCATTGTTAAGTCTCCAGAACCTATACCTTTAAAATGGTTAACAGATAAGCCAATTTGGATAGAACAATGGCCACTAAGTAAAGAAAAACTGGAGGCTTTAGAGAAATTAGTTGCTGAACGATTAGAAAATGGGCACATAGCTCCAACATATTCTCCTTGGAATTCTCCAGTTTTTGTAATTAAGAAAAAAATCAGGTAAATGGAGAATGTTAACTGACTTAAGAGCCATCAATTCAGTTATACGACCTGTGGGAGCATTACAGGCAGGATTGCCTTCGCCTACTATAATTCCAAAAAATTGGCCTTCAATAGTCATAGATTTAAAAGACTGTTTCTTTACTATCCCCTTAGCTGAGCAAGACTGTGAATGGTTTGCATTTACAATTCCTGCAGTAAACAACCTGCAGCCTGCTAACCATTATCATTGGAAAGTGTTGCCACAGTGCATGTTAAACAGTCCAACTATTTGCCAGAGGTATGTGGGATAAGCCATTGAACCTACTCGTCAAAACTTTTCACAGTGTTACATTATTCACTATATGGATGATATACTTTGTGCTGCCCCCACTCAAGAAATACCACTCCAATGTTATGATCACTTGCAAAATTCAATTTCTCATGCTGGTTTAATTACAGCTCCTGACAAAATTCAGACTACTACTCCTTACTCCTACTTGGGGACCTTAGTAAATGACACTACCATTGTGCCACAGAAAGTAACCATACATAGGGATAAATTAAAAACATTAAATGATTTTCAAAAATTACTAGGGGATATTAATTGGATATGACCTGCTCTCTACCTATGCCATGAATAATCTGTTTTCTATCCTTAGAGGAAATCCTAGTCTCACTAGCCCTTGGCAATTAACAAAGGAGGTGGAGGCAGAGTTACAACTGATTGAAAAACAAGTCCATAAAGCTCAGATAAATAGAATAGATTCAGAGAAGACTCTAGATTTGCTAATCTTTTCAACTCAGCATTCACCTACTGGTGTTATTGTCCAAGAACAGGACTTAGTAGAGTGGCTTTTTCTTCCACATACTAATTCACGGACTCTAACTCCTTATTTAGATCAAATTGCTACTATGATAGGGATTGGGAGAACTGGATTGTTAAATTACATGGATATGATCCTGGAAAAATTATTGTCCCTCTCACAAAGGCACAAATACAGCAAGCTTTTATAAATAGTCTTACTTGGCAAACCCATTTAGCTGACTTTGTGGGTATTCTCGATAATCATTTTCCTAAAATGAAGCTGGTTCAGTTTTTGAAATTAACTAATTGGATTCTCCCTAAAATAACTAAATTTAAACCAATTGAAGGTGCTGAGAATGTTTTTACAGATGGGTCTAGTAATGGTAAAGCTTCTTATTCTGGTTCAAAAAGTAAAGTTTTCCAGACTTCCTATACTTCAACTCAAAAAGTGGTGCTTGTAGCTGTAATTGAGGTATTGACTGCTTCTGATATGCCTATTAATGTGATTTCTGATTCTTCATACGTGATTCATTCCACACAGTTAATTGAAAATGCTCAGTTACAATTTCATATAGATGAACAACTGCTGACAAAAACAAAAAAGGAGGAGAAATAGGGATTACAGGACAGCCCATATACAATTTAATCTAGCATTATTTGGTGAAAAGATCCAATGACAAAAAGTTGGGAAATAGGTAAAATAGTAACTTGGGGTAGAGGTTATGCTTGTATTTCTCCAGGCCAAAACCAACAGCCGATTTGGGTACTATCAAGACACCTGAAACCTTATTATGAGCCAGATGCCAAGGAAGAGACTCTGGGAGGATCCCGAGGACCCCCCAGTTGCAGACATGTTGAGACTGACGCTGAGGAGGACCCCTACTGTCACGGCCCACACCCATCGAACACAGCCACCCACCTGGGGGCAGATCAAGAAGCTGTCACAGATGGCAAAAGAAAACCTGAGGAAAGTGGGACAACCACTCACAATGAATAATTTAATGGTAGCTATGATAGCAGTTATCACCACTGCCGTGAGTATTCCTTCAATAAGGGCTGGTAATAATGCCTGGATGCAATCACTATGACACAGTTACACATGCTTTCTGATCTCAGTATTTACCATAATAAATCTGATCCTATAATTGAGGCATACCACCCTCAAAAACGTATTTGTAAACAGGATTGGACCCAGTTAGAAAAAATGAATGTACTTGTTTAGGAAGATTGCTCTGCAGAACAGGCAGAGGTGCTGCACAACGATTCCTATGGAATCATTATTGATCGGTTCCCTAAGGGGATGTTTAGCTTAAATTGCACCTCTCGGTCTGCGTGCCATGGCCATACTATGTTCAGATGATCTGAACAAATCAGATGGTAAAAATGATAAGTACGGCAAAAGTTCCTATTATCTGGAACCATGGCGGTATAGTGGCACCTCAACCTCAAATGATATGGCTCGCTGTAGGAGCTAAACATAAGGATTTGTGGAAACTATTTAATGCTCTTAATAAGATCAAAATTTGGGAAAGAATAAAAAAAAATCTAGAAGGACACTACAAACTTGTTTTTGGATATAGCAAAATTAAAAGAACAAATATTTAAAGCATCCCAGGCACACCTGACCTTAATGCCAGAAACTGGAGTGTTTAAAGGAGCTGCAGACAAATTAGCAGCTAGTAACCCATTTAAATGGATAAAAACACTTGGAAGCTCTGTGATTTCAATGATGATTGTGCTTTTAATCTATGTTGTTTGTCTTTGTATAGTCTGCAGATGCGGATCCCGACTCCTGCAAGAAGTAGCTCACCGTGACAAAGCTGCCCTTTTATCTTTTTGCAAATCAAAGAAGGGAGACATGTTGGGAGCAAGCCCCCCCAAAACTGGCCATAAACAAAACCTCTGCAGCAATGTAACGTGTCCATAATGGCCATAACGCCCAAGCTGGAAGGTTGTGGGTTTATGGGAATGAGGGCAAGGAACACCTGGCCCGCCCAGGGCGGAAAACCACTTAAAGACATTCTTAAGCCACAAACAAAAGCCTGAGCGATCTGTGTCTTAAGGGCATGTTCCCCCTGCAATTAATTCGGCCCATCACTTCATTTCCCATAAGGGATACTTTTAGTTAATTTAATATCTATAGAAACAATGCTAATGACTAGTTTGCTGTTAATAAATATGTGGGTAAATCTCTGTTCAGGGCTCTCAGCTCTGAAGGCTGTGAGACCCCTGATTCCCCACTTCACACCTCTATATTTCTGTGTGTGTCTTTAATTCCTCTAGAGCCACTTGGGTAGGGTCTCCCCGACCGAGCTGGTCTCTTCTTTTTATGTGGCTCTTCCACCTACATGTGCCCACCTGCCAGCTAGATGGGCACATGTTCCCTAGTCTTCCTTACCCCCAAAATCCAGTTTGTAGATGGGAACGAACAACTGCCTGTCCCCCTCATGACATCAACATGACAAAAAACAGTCTTCCCACTAATCCCTTTACTTATGGGTCTAGGACTTTCTGCCTCCACTATTGCACTTTGAACTGGAATAGCAGGCATCTCAACCTCTGTCATAACATTCCACAGCCTCTTTAATGACTTCTCTGCTAGCGTTACAGATATATCACAAACTTTATCTGTCCTCTAAGCCCAGGTTGACTCTTTAGCTGCAGTTGTCCTCCAGAACCGCCAAGGCCTCAATTTACTCACTGCTGGAAAAGGAGGACTTGGTATATTTCTTAATGAAGAGTGTTGTTTTCACTTAAATCAATCTGGCCTGGTATATGATAACATCAAAAAACTCAAAGAGCTCAAAAACTCACTAATCAGGCAACTAATTATGCTGGACCCACCTGGTCACTCTCTAACTGGGTATCCTGGCTTCTTCCAATCGTTAGTCCTGTAATACCTATCTTCCTCCTTCTCTTATTGAGCCTTATGTCTTCCGATTAATCCCTCAATTCCTACAAAACTGCATCCAGGCTATCACTAATCACTCTGTGTGACAAATGCTGCTTTTAACAACCCCACAATATCACCCCTTCCCCCAAAATCTTACTTCAGTCTAATCTCTCCCACTTTGGGTTCCCACACTGCCCCAATCCCACTTGAAGCAGCTCTGAGAAATGTTGCCCATCACCCGTCCATACTGCCCCCAAAATTTTCACCCAAAGTTTTCATTACTTTCTTATTTTATTTCTTCATTATTAACATAAAAAGACAGGAATATAAGGTCCTCTGAGCTGGCCACACCATGGTCGAGCCATTGTGACATTCCCCCGCCCTTGTGATAATGTACTTTGTGATATTCCCCGTCCTTGTGAATGTACTTTGTAACATTTCTCCCCCGCCCTTGTGACAATACACCAGCCCCACCCTTGTGAATGTACTTTGTAACATTCCCCCCACCCTTGTGAATGTACTTTGTAACATCTATCTGCTGCCTGCAAAAAATTGCTCCTGACTCAACCGCCTATCCCAAACCTGTAAGAACCAATGATAATCCCACCACCCTTTGCTGATTCCTTTCTCAGATTTAGCCCATTTGCACCCAAGTGAATAAACAGCCTTGTTGCTCACACTAAGCCTGCTCAAGTGGTCTCTTATACAGACGCAGGTAACAAGCTCAATGTTCCCCATGATAATTTCTCCCATGTCAACATTGCTGAAATTTTCAATATGTGGAAGACAGTTACTGCTGGTTGCCTCTATTGGTATGTCATCACATTTCTCAAAGTTAATCCCAGTGTTTCCTCCAGAAAAGAGTACCTACTCCAAGCATTCACTTGGTGGAAGCGGTTTTGACCAATAATCTTTATCGGACTGTGTCCACTCCGTTCAAATTTGCCAAAGCCAGTTCTGTCACCATGACTGCCAATACCATCATAGTCACTCCATCCAGGATCATCAAATCTTCCCCTTGATCCACTTCCATAATCACTGAAATAACCAGGCTTTTCTCTTGAAACTCGAGACCCAAAACTGCTATATGCATCCTTATCTTTGCTACAACTCCAACCTGAACTGTCTTTATCATAGAATCCTTTAGATGCTTCCTTGTTCCTTAAGTGAGGAGGTATATAGCACTCTTGGCTTGCTGTACTTCCTCCTCCACTCTGTTTATCAGAGGCGTTCAGGTCCAGATGAGCAAACTGCTCCTCCAGGTCGAGGGCATTTTCTATCACCATATGACTCATCCCTGAAAAGAAGTGGAAAATCAAGGTCGTCCACTGTAAGTATGAGACAAAATATCCTAGTTTGTTCATTTTAAAAAATTATTTATTTATTTTCCCCCACCCCCACACCACTGGGTTAGCTCAAAGGGCCAGTCTTCAAGCTTTGAAATTCTTTCTTCTGCTTGGTCTAGTCTAGTCTATTGATAAATTTTTCAATTGTATTTTGATATTCTTTTAAGTAAGGTTTTCAATTGCAGAAGCTCTGATTGATTTCTTCTGAAGGTGCTTATCTCTTCCTTCTTTTCCTGGATCGTGTTAGTAGTTTCTTTTTGTTGATTTTCAATCTCATCTTGAACATCTTTGAGTTTTCTTGGAATCCATGGGTTGAATTCTTTAGCCGACATTTCTGAGTTTCCATTTTAGTTGGGGGCCATTATTGGAGAACTAGTGTGATCTTCTGGTGGTGTCACAGCATTCACATTTTTCATGGTGCCAGAATTCTTGTGTGGGTTCTTTCTCCTTTGGAGATAACTGGCATTTCTAATTTTTGTAATTATTTTCCTATAGGTAAAATTCCCCCCCTTTCAATCTGTATATTATTGGGTTTTTTTTCTTCTTTCCCTTTCTCCTCCTTGACAGAGGGTGTGACTATAAAGTATGTTGAAGAGGGTCTTTTGGCTTTACGTCCATATTGCTACATACTTCTGTCAGCAGGTTTCATATTGGGCTGTGTAGTTCAACCTACATGCTGGTATATGGTGTTAAAGCAAACTAAATATGGCCTCAGAGGGACTCCATACTTCCATATTTGAGTCCTTGTGGATGAACTGTAACCTAGCTTAATAGGCAGACAAAATTGAAAACCTAACTTAGTAGTATGCATTTGTAACAATAGCTAAGTTTTAGCCAGTCCCAGTGGCCATACTTTAACCATTTATACACTGCTGAGTGTTCAAACTATGTTCAAAGAAGGCATATGTGGAGCTGTAACCAATCCAGCTGTTCTGTACCTCACTTCCAATTTCCGTATGTCATTTCCCTTTTTATTGTCTATAAATCTTCCACCATGTGGCTGCACTGGAGTCTTTGTGAATCTGCCTGATTCTAGGGACTGCCCAATTCATGAATTGTTCATTGCTAAATTAAACTTTTAAAAATATAATTCAGCTGAAGTTTTTCTTTTATCAATGGTTTTATGGTTCAGAGTTAGTGGTTGTGCAACAGATGGATATGTAACTAATCTTTGTTTACTGGGAGATGCTCTCTGTTGTTTCAGCTAATGGGCTGAAGCACGAAGTGCTCTGTGACATGGGCTTCCTGTTCTGTGGGGGTAGGGGGACACAGCTGGGCAGAGCTGGAACTTCTGGCTTACCCTCAAATACTCCTATGTCAAGTGCAGGCACCAGCCCTAGTGGAGGTGGCTAGGAGTAGGAGGAACTCCTAATGAAATGTGCTGAAGTTTTCGTGGGGGATTGTGGGGTGCTGCACAAGCCCCTTGTCCTAGATACACAAGAATATGAACTGTTGCCTTATCACAACCATGTTCCAGAGCTCATGACTCCTAGATGAGTCACACACTGTAGTCTATCTCTGGGCCACAGTGTGGTTGAGAGCCTCGGGGACTGCTTAATTTGTGACTCTCGGCCGGGCGCGGTGGCTCAAGCCTGTAATCCCAGCACTTTGGGAGGCCGAGACGGGCGGATCACAAGGTCAGGAGATCGAGACCATCCTGGCTAACACGGTGAAACCCCGTCTCTACTAAAAAATACAAAAACCTAGCCGGGCGAGGTGGCGGGCGTCTGTAGTCCCAGCTACTCGGGAGGCTGAGGCAGGAGAATGGCGTGAACCCAGGAGGCGGAGCTTGCAGTGAGCTGAGATCCGGCCACTGCACTCCAGTCTGGGCGACAAAGCGAGACTCTGTCTCAACAAAAAAAAAAAAAAAAAAAAAAAAAAAATTGTGACTCTCCATGGGAGTGGTTTTGGAGTAGAACTTCATCATTCAGCCTAATTAATATAAATAGCTTCATAGCTTCCCTGTTCTCCAATGTGATTTCATTACTTCTTTGTGTAAAAGGGGAGTGAGTCCGCCTTTGGGCCTGTGTGTTGGTCATGGCAATATCAGCTGGTTGTGTCAGATGGACCTCAGGCTCGGAGGGAAGTGGTCAGATGTCAGCAGAATTTGAATGGGGTAGGAAGTTCTCTAACTCCTCAGTCCCTAGATTGCTGGCTGAACATCATGTATGAGTCCTGATGGAGCTAGGTTGTGGAGGTGGGGTTCCTCGGGTGCTGGTCGTGATGGTAAGGGGCAGGCTGGTCCCCGGGTCACTGGCTGAACTCAGGTAGGGTTAGGCAGAGCATTTAGGCAGTGAGAGCCTAAGGGAAGATCACAGGCTTGTGGGGGTAAGGATTTTAGTAGAGCTCTGGGCCAGAGATGAAATAGTCATGTAGGGATTGAGTAGGTACACTGGAAGCCAGAAGGCATAAACCCCATTTGGGAGGGGGCCCTGGTGGTGGTGGGTCACGCAGAAAGCATTCTGGCTGCCTCTGCAAGGTAGCTGCTGGTATGCTGGAGGCTTGCGTAAGGGCTCAGGCTTTTTGTTTCCTCCCCAGCCTGGGGGCAGTAAGGGTGGGGACTCTGGTGGCTGGCCACAGCAGAGGGCCTGTCAGTTGCCTCAGGGAGCTCCACCCCAGAAAAATGCAGAGCCACAGCTGATCAGAGTGATTAAGTCGGGGCTGGGCATCTACCCTAGGGGCCCCAGCAGTGTGGGGCCCAAGCCCTTAAGGGCAAGGGGAGCCTGCGTGCCGAAGAGCAGGGCGAGAGATGGTTCTTGTGTAAATAAGTCTGTCCTCTTTCTACATAAGGTAGATGCACAGGTGCTATGTGGTGGAGGTGTCAGTGAAAGCAATCAGGCTCTTTGTTTCCTCCCTAGCCTGTGGGCAGCAAGGGAGGGTACCATGGCCGCAGCAATGGAAGAAGGCCTGTTTCTTCTGGGAGCTCCACCCCAGAGAAATGCTGGGCCAAGACTGGCCGGAGTGCTCAGGAGATGGTGGAATGGCTGCGCTGCAGGCCCCATTTGGGAGGCCCTGTCAGGTGAGGAGCCGCAGAGGTGGGGTCTGCAGTCCATCTGCTCCTCATCACTGTGGATGCAATCTCTATCCTAGGGGCATGTGAAAGAGCCCATCCTTCCTTGTTGGCAGGTCTATGCAAGCTGGTGCCTGGGTGCTCAGTGATCCAAGGTCCTTGGGGCTTCACATGACCTTGAGTGATGGCTCTGCCCAGACTCCAGGTGTCTCTTTGTGTCAGTCTGGAGGCCTGGGGTGTTGAGAGGATCTCCCACTCCTAGGATTGTTAAGGTTAGTGGAGGAATTGTGGATCCCTGGGGCTCTCCCTCACTCACCCTTTCCCTGTGGTAGTGAGCTTCCACTGCCTCTGCGCCAGTTCCGGGTGGGTGGCTGCTCTGCTTCACTCCTCTCTGTTCTCCATGGGTCCCATTGCTTCCGTTATGAGTCCCTATGTGTTCTCATGGATGATCCATTTGAAGAACTAGTGTTTACTAGCCATTTTGTTTCCTCTTCTTGAGAGCAGAGTGCACTACCTGCTTCTAGTCAGCCATCTTTATTCTCTACTGTTATATCCCACTTTTATCATTTTTGATATGAATACATAGATTTTTTTATTGTGGTAAAAAGCATGTAACATAAAATTTACGATCTTATTCATTTTTAAGTGTAGAGTTCAGTGCTGTTAAGTATATTCACTTTTTTGTGAAATAAATATAAAGGCATAAATTTTAAATTTAATGTTTTGTTCTACTTATTCACTGAGTTGATTTATTATTTGAATTAGTTTTATCATTGATTCTTTGAAATTTTCCAGATGTACTATTATTATTAACCACATTTATATCTGTATTTCTTCTCTCTTCCCTGATTGCATTTGAATAATGCCTCTAATATAATGTTAAATTAGAGCAGAAATAGTGGGCATTTTTGTCTTGTTCTTGATCTTATTAGAAATGCTTTTAGTATTTCTCCATTTAGTTAGACACTGGATTTAGGACTAAGATATGAGTATTTTATTATGTTAAAAATATCGCTTATTTCTTATTATCTTGGATGTCTTTTTACTTTTAACATGGATGGGCGTTTTCTCCGATGGCTTTTGCAGTATCTCTGGAGATAGTAGTGATTTTCCTCTTAGATCTATTAATATTATTTATGATATAAATGAATTTCCTAATATTAAACCTACCTTGAAATTTTGCTATAAATCCAATTTGCTAACAATGTATTATTTTCTTCACATCTTGTTAGATTCTGTTTACAAGTATCTTACGTAGTTTTCTTGCATTGACTTTTCTTACTGACATTGGTCTATAATTGTTTTAATGCTGTCCTTATCTAGCTTAAGTATGTGTTATACTTGGCACATGAAAGGAGTTACAATATATTTCTTCTTTTCCAAGAAGAAGTTTGATGTTTTGATAGAAGTCTCCTGTGAAACAATTGCACCTGCTGCTTTTTTTGTGAAGTAGTTTCTTAATGACTTTATTTCTTCTATGAAATTGTTCTGTTTAAACATTTTAACTCTAATGGATTCAATTTTGGCAGTCTGTATTTTATTAAAAGATTTTTGATTTTTTTCCAGGCTTTCACATTTATTTGCACGGAGGTCTAAAAAATATTGTAATTTTATTTTTTGTTGTTTCAATAGTTATTTCCTCCTGAATATTTCTTAGTTTGTTAGTGCATTCTCCTACTTCTCCTGAACAAATTATCTAGTGATTTGTCTGTTTTCTTAATCTTTTCAACAAACCAGGAATTTTGTTTATTAGTTTAATTAATTTATTTTAAAGGTCTCCTACCTTATTAATCTTTGCTTTTTTATTGATTAAAGTGTTTAGTTCAATGGATTTCCCTCTGAGCACTGCTTTACATACACCCCATAGATGCTGATATGTAGTGTTTTTTTAAATTATAATTTCTTAACTTCTGTAACTGTATTTCCCCTTGCACACACTAGACTTGTTTAATGGGATGTTTTAAATTTCCAGGTGGAAGAGTCTTTCTGGGTGTTTTTGTTTTGTTTTTGTGAGTAATATCATGTTTTATTGCATTATTACCTGTATTGTTTATAATATTTATATTTTATAAAATTGCAGATTA